AAAAGACAGTTTTAACTGGTGAAATGCAGTGTCTTTTAAATTCTGTAAGTGTTGCTAAACGTTTGATATGTCTAGGCATCGAATTGAAAACATTTATTCCTTTATAATATAATGAATTTTGTGAAGCACAAGTCAAGAAATGTGGTGTTCTTATTTCAACCGCGTTTCTAGTATTATATCTATGAAAGTCACTTCCTCTTTCAATTCGATCACACAAATATCGAGGCAGCATACCGTTAACTACTTTAAAAATGAACACCATAGTCAAATATACAATTCTTTGCTTCACCGACAACCATTGTAAGGCGTCTAACATCAAAGTTGAGGAAGTGAATCTATTACATCTCAAAATCAAACGCATTATTTTATTCTGCAAGCGCTGTAATCTCGATATTTGTGTTGCATTGGCCAGGAGTTTTTCGAGCGGCTGACGGTGGCGGGCCAGGAATTGAACCAGAGTCTGCAGGTGGCCATGATACTGCGCAGCTTACCAGATTCGTTTAATACTTTAACTACGGCGCTGGAGAGCAGAGCAGACGACGAGCTCACTCTGGAATTGATTAAATCCAAGCTAGTAAATGAGGTGTCGGAACGCTGTTCCGGAGCTCGTTGTGAATCAGTTCTGAAAGTGGATATGAGGAAGCAAAAGATAATGTGCCATTTTTGTCAAAAGCCTGGCTATACGCAAAAGGATTGTCGCGCAATGATGAAACAAGAAGGAAGCCAGAGCAAGTCTCGTAGTCAGAGTGAGAAGCGGAATGCTCCCAGGGTGAAAGCGGCTCTTCAAGAAACCCGGAGCGAAGTGGAGCTGGAATACTCCTTTGCGGCAAGAAGCAACATGAACCTGGTAACTGCGTGGGTAATCGACTCAGGAGCAACCTCGATTTTCGACTGCAATCTACGGGACTTTAGGTGGTTCGCAACCCGTAAAAATGCTTATTTGCAGCTACAATACTGCAATACCTTGCCCTCGCGGTTAACATAGCATTTCGCTGTGTTTCAGAAAATTGTGGCACCTGTTCCAAACTGAAGTGAATTAGTCAGACTAGTGACTTCCAATGTCCAATTTTACATTAGTGATATAGGAAGATCAGTTACACCAGCGAGAAATATCGCTATGATTTTTAGTCGTATACGAGGTTGTATGTACAATATGTACCCAAGTTCTTCTACTCCACCCAGTGAAATAAACTAACGATATTCATAAGATTGACTTATGCTTTTTAGCCACAAGAAATCGGTATGAATTTCGTGAGTGAACGCCACTTCCACTGTTTGAAGGGGCATGTGCGTGTGTGTGTGTGTGTGTGTGATGGTACCGTTCCTCTGCAAACAAGTGTTCTAAATCGATCCTTGAATAGCAATGTTGTATAATAATTGTTATAGTGCATCATCCTGATTCAACCCATCTTAAGTACTGAATGAGCTCGAAATCTCATATATAACCCATACACATGACTTCGATCCATCAAGCACTGTATGACTTAATATAAGTAGAAAACTATGTCCTAGCTCAATATAGCAAAGCTCAAGTCGCTTCACTAAATGGTACGTGAAATCAATTAAAATATTGTTAGTCTGCAAACTGTATTCCTAAGATCCGCCAATGATTTGAGGAAGGAATCCTCCAACGGCCTCTATCCGTGAACTACTAGTACGACTCTACAAGAATTGTGTTCGCGAATGCCGTCTTGTGACAGTCATCATAGCGTCATTGTAGCGGCACCTTTTGAGTTAAGCCATCAGTGTCACTCCTTATTTAAACCTCTCCAACTCAGGAGATCTTTTGCTTCGATCATAGTCACCACTCTCCTTCTATCGAGCACATCTTCAGAGTGTCACGTACTGATACATATTCATCCTGGATGCAATCCTCCTGTACCTTTACGGGTGAATCTCCGATTTCACATAGCGCTGCGTCAGATAGGGATAATCAAAATTGAAACGTGCATTCGCTCATTAAGAAAAACTTGCTAGGACTTGCTGAGGTTACCACATACCATTGTGTATTTTCCCAAGTGTCCCATCTCTGGGAGAAACTTCAATAAACAAGTAATTTGCGCTTTAGTTCTACTTTTTTTGTCGGTTCAACGGCTATCTTTTGCCACTAACATCCTCTTACTGAGCGTACCGTCAGTGAAGGAGTAGTTCCTTCAATGAACGTTTTATACTAGTAGGTAAACAAGGTTTAGTGACGTCCCGAATCACCACCACTCTTCACCGGGTGTCCCGCCTCGTGACAGAGTTATTTATTGTTCCTATGGGCGTCCCACACCATAAGGCAACTGTTTCAGTGTTCGTCCCGAAACACTATCAACTCTTCACCGAGCTTCCCGCCTCGTGACAGAGTCGTTCATTTCCTCGGGTGTCCCATACCGTAGCAGCTGTTTGGAATCTACAACGCACACCAGTCCAGGCACCGAAAAAAAATCGTGTGCTAAGATTATTTACCAAGAAGAATTCAAGATGGCCGTCCCAGCTCATTACGCATGCAAACACCCTTCGAGTGTTCCACACGATGGATTTTTCTTTTCAAGATTTCGTCCCTGCAGCCCGTTGAATGCTTTCTGCTCTTTTTTTTTCCCGTCGAGCGTCCCACCCGACAGAGGTCCAGCGTTCATCCCGAATCACTTGAACAAAGCGTCCCACTTGTACTAAGCAGATTAAGCATACGTCCCGATATGCAGTTATTGCACGTCCCGACATCCAATGCGAATAAAATTAATTTAAATAAAATAATGGAGCTATCTCTTTTCAACGAACGTTTGCTTCTTCGTTTTTCTATGATAAATCACGTGACATGCAGGTCATTTGCTTGGGTTCAGCTTTTTCATAGCAAGGATCTTGAGCCTGGATTCTTTTCCAGAGATGCAAGATGGCCGTCCCAGCTCATTGTGCATGCAAAATCTTTCTTTTTTTTTTTCTTTTTCGAGCGTCCCACTCGATTGAGATTTCCTCACTAAGCGTTCGTCCCGAAGCGCTGTAACTTTAGAGAAAAGAATCCTGCCATCGATTTTTCACTCGTGGCGGCATCATCTTATTTCTGGCAAGAAAAAAAAAATCAAGCAACTTACCATCAATCCTGCTTTCTCGCTATCTGGACGCTATTATCGCATGCACGCACTTTATTTAGGATTTCATTTTTTTTGTTCTCGATATATTTCACTTTTTTCGCTTTCCTGTGATAGGCGATTCCCACATAAAACAGATCGTTCGTCAAGCCTTTCGAAAAAGAAAGCAAGATGATCGCTAGCAGGATCGCCATTGTGGAATTTGTAATTCCACTCTGGGGGAATCGTCCAACGCAGGAGCTTAACCATGCACGACCTACTCCGGCGACGGTCGACCTACGAAAGAGGAAGACTGAAGCAGTAGCAAGCTGTGATTGCCTCTGCCGAATGTTGAAGTCGAATGAATGGATGATGTTCATCCATTTGACACTTAAACGAGGGATAAGACATCAAGGATATCCGGCTACGTTAGGGTGTACTCCACAATGAGCATGAGCATGATTGACCGCCCGGGATATATCCGGGAGCACATTCTTGATGCTTATTTTCCTCTCGCAAACCCGTCGTCGTCGACGGGAACTCGGTGAGCAATTTTGTGATACGGAATTTTCACTGAAATAAAAAACCGCGAATTCACGAATTTCACCATACCCAACTGCAAAACGCGTTCAGACGCACTTTTGGTACACTTTCGATATCAGATTTTCATCACTCCGACTATGAATGGAAAACTTTACAAGGAGGAATGTCTCCAGAAGATAATTTTGCCGTTCATTCAGTCACACGACGGTCCCGTAAAGTTCTGGCCCGACTTAGCCAGCTGCCATTACAGCAGGGATGTCATTGACTTGTATAAGCAGAATATTGTCGATTTTATTGAAAAGGATATTAATCCATCAAATTGTTCAGATTTTCGTCCCATCGAAAAATTTTGGACAATTATCAAGCCTAATTTGGAGAAGCGGTGGAAAAAGATGGCAGATAAGGTTGACAGTAACCATAGAGGTAGCCGAGATTTGTAGATGGTGAGCAACTCGTGAATCGCTAAAACAATTTTTCTTCGTAGGTGAAAGCAACCTACATCTCAGCGTTCTAAATGATGACCAGGGTAAACTCACAGTTTTTGAAGACGTGGAAGGTTCGGTGCAGCCAAGTCTGTGGGGAAATTTCTGTGTCTATCGGACATTGGATACTCTTGAACTTGAAGCTTGGCGAAGAACTTTGGATTCGGATGACCTATAGACCTTTTTGACGTTTAATCGTCTTTCTCTATCTAGCACACATGGATCAATGGACGGTATGTTTTCCCACTAATCTACTGTGCAGTAGTGTGCGCCGATTAAACGTCAAAAAGCTCTATACCGACAACGTACAATCTTCTCCTACAAACTTTTCATCCACGAACTGGCGACAAATTCAGTTCTCTATACGATCAAAAAGTTGGTATCATTTTCATAATTGTCGATCAGAGCTCGGATCAGAGAGATCTTCCATTCGACGATTGCGGAATGTTACCGTATATAATCATGAACTCGAACAGTTTCTTCCCGTGTGATAGTCGGTAAAGCACTTGGACCATAGAGGCATAGAGGTACCTCTACTAGATACCATTTTATATGAGGGGGTTAGAAGGAAAGGGGTGTAAGTGACTTTGATCGATCGACTTTCTTTTTTGATAACCACAGCTTTAAAAACAGATTTTTGGCTATTTCTGCCACATAGTTTGATAAAGGAGGTTCTAATCTAGCATCCAGAATGGCACACGAATGTCGATTTGCCAGGGAGAGGTATGACTTTTGAGAAATCATCGAGAGAAGTGATTGTTTACAAAATCTGTTACGCCCCAATTCTATCTAGATTTCAGCGCCCAGTAAATATTGACAAAAAAAAAAATAATAGTAGGAGTAACCACGAGTAACTACTATGACCGGCCTGGTTTTGGATAAAGTAAATTGGGTCTAATTTGTCGCACCTTTTTCCACCTTTTAGTCGGCGGCAAACCGGGCCCGCAGTTGGGACTACATCCGCCGGAAGGGCGTCTCCATGGGACTGAATCTGTACAATCAGGACGTGTACGTAACGAAAACGGCCGGCGAGCTGCTCTTCGATGGCTACGAAGACGACATGGTACTGATGGGCAAGCAGTTGTTCGACGCCAACGAGGTCCCGTTCGACCGCGTCGGATGGTTCTATACGGTAGGTTGTGCTGAGCTATTGCAAGCAAACATTATCTCAATACGAAAATATCCCTTTACATACAGCGCAACAATTCAGCGGATCTGATCGGCCACTACAACATCCACACGGGAATGGACGACATCATGAAGATCGGTTCGATGGCTCAGTGGAACTACAAGTCAAGAACGGACTTCTTTGCCGATCACTGCGGGATGCTGAACGGTTCGGCCGGAGAGTTCTACCCACCGAACTTATCCAAGGACGTACCGATTCAGCTGTTTACGCCGGACATGTGCCGCAGTTTGCCGCTGGACTTTGAACACGAGGAGGTAGTGGCCGGAATCCAGGGATACAAGTACGCCGGAGGTCCACGGACGGTGGACAACGGGACGACGTACCCGGAGACAGCTTGCTTCAGCAACGGAGAGATTGTGCCGTCGGGTGTACTGAACATTTCTGCTTGTCGGTTCGGAACTCCGGTGTTTATGTCCTTCCCTCACTACTACGGAGCGGACGAGTACTATCTGAACCAGGTGGAAGGACTACAACCGAACAAGAGCAAACATCAGTTCTACATGACGATGGAACCGGTAAGTGTTGGGCGGGGTTTCATGTGGATGATTGATCATTAATGTATGAATTTAACCACCTACAGACAACAGGTATTCCGTTGGACGTTGCCGCCCGATTCCAGCTAAACATTCTCATCGAATCACACCCGGATATTTCGTGAGTATAGCATCATTCTTGGTTCACATCCCCTGGCCCACTAAAAGGCCTTCATTTCCCTCTCTTTCAGCCTGTACGAGGGCGTTAAGCGGGTGTTTTTGCCGGTGCTGTGGTTCGAGCAGCACGTTACTATGAAGCCGGAATTTACCGGTGAAATCGCCCAAGCGCTGAGTATACCCACGACGGGGCGCATCTGCGGTATCGTTATGATCGTCTTCGGTGCCATCATGATCGCTTGGACCCCGGTCGAACGGTTAATGTTCCGCCAGCGACGTCGGGGCACGGTCACCGATGCCAGCACCGAGAAGGTACTGCTGCATCACAATCTTGCCAAGACGGCCATCCTGGTGTCGGAGAAGGAAAAGGAAGCAGCTGCGGCTATCACGATCATCGAAGCGCATCCGCTGATCGAAAGCAAAGCCGTCCGAATGGGTAGTCAAAACGGAACTACCAAGACGTGAGCAAGTGGCAGCTTGGCCCCGTAATTCTACCAAAAAGAAAGACTTTCCTTCCGCCGGCTATCGAGCGAATGAGGGGGCGGATGAAATAATCCAGTTCTCTGAATTTACCATTAAGTGTGTATGAGTGTGCATGCGCTAGGAATTATAGGAATCCCATTGACTACCTACTTGTAGCGGCAGTCCGGAGCCGTGATCCGGAAAGCAATTACTATTCTTAATGATACAGGGTGAACAATGATTCCTCGTGTAGTTTTAAGGCCAATTTGTGTGGCTGTTCTGTTCCAAAATCTTATAGGCTAAGTTTAGGTATGTAGGTGTCCATAGCTAAGTGCCGTCACCGGAAACAAAGTGCCCGACTTTGACATAATCATGCAAACAAGTGAATCAAAGACAGACCAAAAGTACCACTTTCTCCAGAGGAGAATATTTTTTTTGCAAGGAATGTGGTTTGATGAGTGTTGAGGAGTCCGATTTTTTGACATTTTTATTTTGTAATAAAACAGATATTCCAATTTTTTCTCAACGACCTAAAGTCGCTGGGTAAATGATACAAAAATAAATTGTTATACATATAAGCAAAGCACCTACATTTGAGATGAGCTAGATAGCGATTACAATAAATGCAATTACATTTATTCAACATTATTTTCAGGGATGTGACCCTATATGAAGTAGCCCTGATAATTAGCAGATAAAATCTGAAGAACAATTTCAACAGCTTCTTCACCGTGACGTTTAAAGACCAGTTTGTTGTTAATGTCTATGGTACAGTTTTGATGGGGCCGGTGGTGGGGCGTCTGACCGTAACCGTAACCGTAACGATCCATACAACAATATTTAAGGTCCATACAAAAAACATGACAAAGGGGGAAGGATGGCTTGAAAATGGGCGTTTTGCGTGTCGTAATTAATTGACGTTCCCTATATAGAGAATATGTTTTACTTTTCTTTCAAAAAAGTTGGTGGGCGTTGGCCAAATTTGGATTGTTCAGATATAATCCTAAATAGGTCCTAGATTATCCTAGATACCTCAAATCCGTGCTCTGTCACAATGTTTCGTTGTGATTAATCAACTCTCAAAGGGGTAAATATAAAATTTGGGGTGAATTTGAAAGAATTTGGAGTGCAGAGCGCACTGCCCACTGGACGATTCTGAAGCCTGACCAAGTGAGTATGGGTATGGGTTTATTTGATTGAACGTCATTTCCAATGTATATATTGATGCATTCAAACCATTGGCATTTGAGATAAGACAGATATAGGATGCGGAGGGCCCGCTAGGGGGAGCGTAACCCATGTTATGGTTTCCATTTATTGAATAGTTCAGGTGGGCTAGAAATGACAGGTTCATAGTGAGAAAATGTAACATCTTGGATCCGTTCACTGATCAAAATCAGATTCACATCGTCAGGCCCTGCCCAAGAATAAGGGGATTGACAATGTTTTGTCAACTACAACTGACCTATAACTAATACATACACCTAACCTAATATATAGAAATAGCTTATCAAAGCATGTTCTGATGAGTTGCATTTCTGCACAAACCTAGTCTAAATGTCATCAATTTTAAAATCTAATTTTGAAACGTTCGCCTCTAGGTGGAGATCTGAAATTCTTGTGTCAAAAGCGACGATCAAGGATCATCCTCAGCATGGATTTTGTTCCTGTGAGTCTTGGCACATGATTCCCGCACCGGAGCTGCGTAGAGGATCGCAGATGCTATGATTTGTTTGTAGACAGCCAGTTTGTTCACCCTTGAGAGGCGGGATCTGCGGCAAAGGGGGAGAGAGGTAGCTCATCGATTCTTCCGGTTCACCTCCTAGCATCGTGCTATAAGGTACCAGGCGATAACCAGGGTAGTTGATCGATAGCTCGATGACGTCATTTCGTTGGCGTCTGCAATGGGAAATTCTCATAGCAGGCGTTGACGATGGGACGTTGTCGAGTTGTTGAATAGCAACTATCGTGGTAACTCACCGATTACCTGTCGATCTACCAAATTTGGAAAGACGTCTGCATTGAATTGTCTCATATAATAATATTCCGCCCACTATATCACAAGAAATTGCGAGTAGCTGAGTGGAATGGAGATAAGTTAAGCATTGGGTACAGGACCAAGTCTCCCCTGGGTGGTGCCAAAAGATGAGCACAATAGAATCATCAAGTTGCCATAAGGCACGGAATGAGACTATTGCATGGCTGGGTAGTCAAAGTCGTCCATTCGTTAGTCATTTCAGGTGGATTAGAACAGGTTTAGGTGGGCGTTGGTCAGTTTTGGATTTTTCAGATGTAATCCTGGATAGGACCCTGTCATTGAACGTCGCGTGAAAGTGGAACTTAATGAAGGCCTAAGTACTTTTTCGTAGTTTTTAGTTTTCGGATTTGAAAGATCGTCGGTTACAGTGGCCTGCTTATTGAGCAGAAAAACGCGGTCCCAGGTCCTTACATATCAAAGAGATGTATGGTAAAATCGCTTGTGTATCGTGTATTTTGCGAAACTCGTTGTTGTCGTTGGTTCCGGGTTTGAATGGATACACAAATTTGAGCAACGGTATAATGTGATATGAGGGGCTTGGTGGCCTTAGAGCAACCGTTTTTGCATACTGAGCAGAACATCATGAGTCTAATCTCAGGCCCATCCACATTCAAGATTCGTCAATCGTTTTATTTGTTAATATGACTACATGGTAAAGGGTGATACGGTCAAAATTTGGTCAAGGGAAAACGCGTGTAAATCGGTGAAATCGTTTATTTAAAAAATCAAATTAAATTTCTTTTTCAAGTTCAATTAGTATAAAATTCAGGAAAAATATTCAGTTAGGCTTCCGCTTTTCCAAATCCGAATTGCCGGGCCTTACGCTTGACCCCTGCCATCAGATTTTGTACAGCCACCTTGTCCACCTTCTTCGCCGCAGAAAGCCAGTTTGCCTTGAACTGCTGCTCGCCCTTAGCAGTTTTTTTGGTCTTCTTTAGGTTCCGCTTGACAATAGCCCAGTATTTCTCAATTGGGCGGAGCTCTGGCGTGTTGGGAGGGTTCTTGTCCTTGGGAACCACCTGCACGTTGTTGGCGGCGTACCACTCCATGGCCTTTTTACCGTAATGGCAAGATGCCAAATCCGGCCAAAACAGTACGGAACAACCGTGTTTCTTCAGGAAAGGCAGCAGACGTTTATTCAAACACTCTTTCACGTAAATTTCTTGGTTGACAGTCCCGGAAGCTATGAAAATGCTGCTTTTCAAGCCACAGGTACAGATTGCTTGCCAAACCAGATATTTCTTTGCGAACTTTGACAGTTTCATGTGCTTGAAAACATCTGCTACCTTTCCCCTTCCTTTTGCCGTATAAAACTCCTGTCCCGGAAGCTGCTTGTAGTCGGCTTTGACGTAGGTTTCGTCGTCCATTACCACGCAGTCAAACTTCGTCAGCATCGTCGTGTACAGCCTCCGGGATCGCGCTTTGGCCGTCGTATTTTGTTTATCATCGCGATTTGGAGTCACTACCTTCTTGTAAGTCGATAGTCCGGCTCGTTTTTTGGCTCGATGCACGGTTGTAGACGATACACCCAGCTTATTTGCGGCATCTCGGAGAGAGAGGTTAGGGTTTCGCTTGAAACTACCGGCAACTCTCTTTGTCGTCTCAGCGGCTTCCGGTTTTCGATTTCCCCCCGATCCAGACTTCCTGGCTGTCGACAAACGTTCCCCAAACACTTTAATTACATTTGTAACGGTTGATTTGGCAACTTTTAGCGATTTTGCCAACTTTGCGTGCGAGTAGCTCGGATTTTCGCGATGCGCGAGCAAAATTTTGATACGCTGCTCTTCTTGCTTGGACGGCATTTTGACAACTGAAGAGTGAATTCCAAAATCAAAATAGGAGCAACATTCTACACACACACACCTTCAAAATGAGGGGTGTTCAGGTTTTTTAAATGCAAAATTGAAAGAAATACGTCAAGTTGATATTGACCAAATTTTGACCGTATCACCCTTTAATAACAGCAACTCGGTGATTAAAAAGGTGCTCGTCTGCCTAGTGGCAAACGTTTTTGCTTACTGAGCAGAAGACCGTGGGTTTAGTCCCAAGCTCCTTCGCGTTATATGATCGTTAGGACATCAATTCAGCTTATCGTTTACCAAAACGAACCCTGCTGCAAACCCAACCCTCTTATCCAACATCCCAGTGATTCCTCGTGGAAGTGCAGAGGTCATCAAAGCGAGTGTCATGTCAACACAATCCTTCCCATTCCTTTCTTGACCTGTGCTCGGGCGCGGCCGGCGCTGGTATTGCCTAATTTAAGATCACCAGTTTTTACACATTAAGGATCCCTAATAAACGTGTACCATATACTGACGATATCTTAGATGGTGCGACCATACCACATAAAATTGGGATGATATCTCGAATTGGTGGTTAGGCGCATCTTATGGTTATTGTTTATGCGGGATGATTGCTAGTCCCAAGCATCGTCTATTCGTTCTCTGTGTAATTACAGCTGATCTGGCAGTAACAGAGTAGCAACCGTGGGCGGTCAATCAAGCTCAAGCTCAAGCCTTGAGAGGCGGGATCTGCGGCAAATCAGCGGATACAGACACCTAACACTTGACTACTGTTTTCTCTACATGCGAACAGAATAGGAGCTTTTCATCGAACAACATCCCGAGATAGGTTACTTCGGCAGACCACTCAACCCTTGTGCCATCGATGATTACAGTACAAGATGGAGCCGGTTTCAGTTTGGGCGATTGCCGATGGAGGAACATGATCGTTTGTGTTTTGGAGGCATTGATTTTGATTTTCCACGTGGTGGTATAATCAGCAAAGGCGTTCAGGCATCGTTGAAGTTTGTTCGTTATTTCGCGAGGCATCCTTCCTTTGACGGCTATTGCGGTATCATCTGCGAACAGGAAGAACACGCAACCGTCTCCGAGGGGAGGAATGTCGGAAGTGTAGATGCTGTAAAGCAAGGGGCCCAGCAGACTGCCTTGCGGGACTCCTGCTGGGATGGAAAACGTGTCTGAAAGACAACCATTCAACGATACCTTAAACGACCTTTGCTGAAGGTAGTAACGGGTGATTTTAACCAGATGTAATGGGAAGTTGAAGTTACAAAGCTTGTACACAAGTCCGTCATGCCAAACATTGTCAAACGCCTTTTCAACGTCTAACAAGGCCATTGCTGTGGACTTGGATACAGCTTTGTTACTTCGGATGTTATTCATCACCCGTACTAGCTGATGATTGGTGGAGTGCCCCTTTCTGAATCCAAACTGTTCCG